GTTGGTAGGGGGTTGGGGGAAAGATCACTCCAGCATTGGAGAGATCCTCTCAACATCAAATGGAGAGTGATCGGCGGTGTGGTAGAGCCCATGCGATATGACGAGTCATGAAGACTATCGGGGCTAAGGTCATGATGAGACATGTCCAGTGTTGACCGCAGTGTTGACACGTGGCTAGAGGGAGAAGCCCGAGGTAGATATTATCCTCCAGTTTCGCTGAGAAGTAACGCCCATCGAGTCGTCCTCGTAGGGCATTGAATAAAAAGGTCGAGTGGGCTCCAGGCGAGTCGACTTCGACAAGAAGGTCGACTGGTCCCGACTCTTGAGTCATCATGAAGAGTATTGACTTGATGAGTTGGCCAAGTTGGGACCTCCGCTGGGCTTCGGCCATCAAGCCGGTTAGGGCCTTGCTTGCGAAAATACATTCGCCCGTTGTTTGGTGAGTTGTATTTTGGCGAATGGGAATACCATAACAGTAACGTAAACAAAGTTATTTAGTTACGAAAACATTAAATATTTAAAAAAGGTAATTGATTAGGATAGGATAACAATATTTAAAAATATTAATTAGGATGAATCGATTAAATATATTAATTATGATAGAATTAAAATGTGATATTTAAAAGTGTCAATGGTAGTTATAAAAAAGGGACAAGGGTAATATTGGCCATGGAAATTTTTTACCGAAGCCATGATTTTATATTTAATTTAGTTTAATAATTAAAAATAAAAAATTAATTAGGATAAATTGATTAAACATATTAATTATGATATAATTATTATGTAATATCTAAAAGGGTCAAGGGTAATATTGACTATGGAAAGTTTTTCCCAAACTCCACTATAGCCTAATCGGAGCACAACGAGGCCGGTACACACCGCTCCGACAATGATTATGTTACAATAATGTGTTAAGCCTATAATTATTGATACTCATTTTCATTTATTTATCAAAGTAGGTACTTTTGGAAAAGATAAATTTTCAAAAAAATGAATAAATATAAAAACCAACAATAAACCAACATTTCAAATCTCATACCTGACCATTCATGTTCTCAACCAATCTCTTGCTCACAATCTGGTTTGCGTCAACTACGTAGGAAGGGAAACAAAAGAAATCTATTAGAGCAGATTTAGCAAGCACCGCCAAAAGAATAGAAATCTAAACGAACAAACTTGTGAATAATAATTCACATATCAATACAAATAAATGAATGACAAGCTCAAAGAGATAGTGATCATGAAAAGATAATAGTACGTAAATGAAAGGGTAGAGCAATAACCAATGATAAAAGACAATAACATTGATAGGATGTAGACTACAACATATGTAGTGGAATCATAAGTGAATATATCGCATCTCGCTAAATATAACACCACTACTAAACATGTCTGCTCATGACCTACAATATCGTCACAACTTATACCAAAAAGGGTATAACAAATCACAAGTAAAAAATAATGAGAGAAAATCACAAATATATCAAATAAAGCAGATGATATCATCCACTCTACTGTAAAATCATCATCATATCATATCATATCATCATGTAAATTATGAAGTAAACTACAAATTAACTACAACAACATTGAACAAATATCATTTAAATTATCTTTAATTAAGTTCTTATTTGGATTTGCAATGACTGAGTCTGTCCGCTTCAGGTGGCAACACATAAACAAACTCATAATCTTATTATATTAGGCACTCATGTTGGAGTTCTCTAGCCAACCAACTCACTTTAATACGCAACTCACCTCGTTACATGTCCCCCATCTGGCTATTTTTAATTTACTAGTTTTTACACACGTGCAATGCACGTGATTTAATACCATGATTAAGTATTTTTGGCAGTTTGTGCTCATTTTTTTCTTTAAACTCTTACATCCTGATTATTTTTTTATGTTTGTTTAAATGGGATACACCCAATTTAAATTTTCATGTTGATATTTGAATTGACAAAAAACAAATATAATTTAAAAATAATTTGAATTTTTATATTATTTTTGACCGATATGAAACTAAGCTTTATTTGAGAAAGTATAGCATTGCAAAGTGAAAAATATTAAAATAGTGTTATACAAGGAAGGTGAATATTTAAAACCAATATGGCAAAATGATTGATTTAAAGTATGTTAAAACGATGCAAAAGAGAATATGAAGTTTATTCCTAATCATTGATAGACTTCATAAAAAAATATAAATTAAAGATTAATGCTAACTCTAGTATACTTTTATATGATAAAAACATCCACATAAAAATATAAAAGTACTGAAAAAAATTCATGAAACTCCCTTCTAAAGATTCCTAATTTCACTCAAAATAATTAAACTATTCTATAAAATATTCATAAAATATTGTTTTTATTTCTTTTATTTTATTTTTTATTGAGTTAAGATCAATCCTTCTTCAGGTTTATCATTTATCATTTCTCGGATAATTCTAGAGTATTGTCTTCATCATCTACATCAATTGTGACATCAGGCTAATTTTGTATTTTTTATGCTATTATCTTTCCTAGGCTCGTTAATTTTTTATCATCTCATTTAACTTTACAAAGAAGTCAAATGTACTTATGATGTTCAACACAAACTGCTCAAAATATAGACTTTGATTTTTTTCTATTTCAATGAGAATAAATATTAATTTCATATATATAAAATTCTTTGTGTTCCTAATTTATTACTTAAATAAATTAGAAGCTATCTCTTTATTTTCCTCTAAAATGAATTCTTCTGATGTGCATCCAATAAGAATTTCTGTTATTTCAATAATATTACCTTTGCTCTATCCCTGTCATTTTCCATAAAGATCTAAACTAAATACCTGCATTATTCATTACCAATTTCTCTTAGATTATAATATTAATATTTAATTTGAAGAACACAGTATGGAATTTATGAATACTTACTAATTTTTCTTATGTCTTCCATGGAGATTTTTTCTTTGATTAGGATAAAGTTATTAAATTATTTTTTAATGTAACTCATTCAGTGCTTCATTAATAGATATGTCTTATGTTAATGCCAATTCAAGTGATTCATTGACGTTTTCTGAATTTTAGATTTATTTCCATCACTTTCCCATTTGCAATGGAAATAACTCAATTCTTTTAAAGTTATCTCTAAATATTCTAATAGTTTCTCCATATGTAATTCCTTGTATTCTTTTACCCTATAAATATTATTAACGTCAAAGATTAAAGTTTCTAAATTAAAATCAATTAATGCTAAGGTATAATATTATAGTGTTTTATCATTTCTATGGATTTAAACATCTATCAATTAATGTTACGAATGTATTTTGGCTACCCCAACTTATTACTAAAATTATATGAAATTACTTTAATTTATATAGTGCCGATAATTTTTAATCTATAATATTTTTAAAAATTTTATCCATTAACCGGATGTTTTTAATCAATTCTTATTGTTTTTGTTTACCAGTATCAACTTAGACTATTCTTAGATGCTGAAAATGGATAGTAAATCCCTAAATTAGAAATTTTAATATATATATATATATATATATATATATATATATATATATGAAAAATACCAAACAATTATACTTTTCTTTGCCAAGTTTTAAAATTTTAGCCCATTTTTGTGGTTTTAAACTTTGAGGGTGTAATTTATAATTTTTAAAATTTTGAAAGAGTTTTTAAAAAAATTTACTTTTAATTTTGGTAGTTGTAAATTCTATGTTTCATGTGTTGGTGGTTAATTTTTTAATTTCATGTTTTTTATTTTAAGTTTTGAGACATTTGGATGGGTTTTATAATTTTGAACTTTTCAGGGTATTTTCTACAATTTTAAAACTTTTTATGGTTTTTTTTACAATACTTCATGTATAATATGTTATCTACTTGTAATTTCTTTATCTTAACAAACTAATATCATTTTTATGTTTCATATATTTTATTAATATTTTAGTTTTTTTAAATTGTTAAGCTAAACATGGTTCACATAAAATTAGGATAAAATATGATTATGATTAGGATAGATTAAGATATAAATAAAATATTCAAAATAGTGAAGGGTAATATTGACCATTAAAAATTAGAATTTGATTATAGATAAGATAGTTCAAACTATAAAGGGGCATATTTGTCTAAAAAAGATTTTAAATTAGAATTTGATTATAGATAAGATAGTTCAAACTATAAAGGGGCATATTTGTCTAAAAAAGATTTTTCGAACTCGTGCTTTTAAAGGGAGTATGATATGATATGATATGATATGATTTTCTTTGTACATATAATATTATATGCACTAAATCCTAATCCTCCGAGTGCTTAGAGCAACTCCAATGGAGCGCCAAAACTCCATTTTGGAGCATTTTGGCGCTCCAATGGAGCGCCAAACACCCCGCTAAATTAGCGGGGTGCTACAGTGTTGCGTCAGAAATGGCGCAACACTGTAGCAATGGCGCAAATTTTTTTTTTTTTTTTGCTTTTTTCTTCTAAACTTTATTCTTTTATTCATATTTTCTTTTCTTTTTGCTTTTTTTTCCTAAACTTTATTTTGCTTTTGTTTTTTATATTTATATTAATAATATATATTAACTTATATTAATTATTATAATAAAATTAGAGTATAAAATAATTATTAAAATAAAATTTAAAAAGAAATAAGAAAAACTACACCATTTAGATAAAAATTAGGACATAAAAATGTAATGCCTTTTATTTTTATTTTTTGCTTGCAAGTGTGATGTTTTTTTTTTGTGATGTTAAATGTAATCTTTAGTTGAATTTATGAAAATAATATTTTAATTTAATTTAACATTTAATTTTTTATATTTTTATTTTATTCATAAAATATATTATTATAATTAATTATATGTAATGTATTATATAATTACATAATTTGTTAAATATTTTAAATAGATAAAATGTTAAAAGATAAGAATAATAAAAGGAATATTCTTTTTGGTGTAAAATTTGGTGTAATGGGTTGGAGATGGAATAGTGATTTGGTGTAAAAACTACACCAACCCACGTCTCTCAAAGAGTATCTCAAAAAGTACCAATCTGGATCCGACGACCAAACCAAGAAGAAGAAGAAGAAGAAGAAAGATAAGAATCCCAGACCTAATCCCGCCGCCGCCGGCGTCCTCGTCGTCGACGAAGACCCCGTGTGGCAAAAGCCTGTAATTGATGAGGAAGAAGAATCCGCCGGTAATTTCCCCAAACCCTAACCCTAGATTTAAGCTCCGTTACTTTTCCTAATTTCGTGTTCTCTGATTCCTGTTTTGTTGTTGCAGACGACGAAGCGCCTTTAGTAGATGAAGATGTTGAGGTGAAGCGTCTGAAGAGGCTCGAAGCGATTCGTTCTCGGAAACCCTATGGCGGTATTTCGGAAGATGGAAGCGGTTGGGTTTCGATCTCGAATTCAGATCTCTCTCCGCCTCGCCAGCGACGGTCGAGATTGGACACGCCACCATCGGATAGGGAACCGAATGCAGACGACGCTAAGGATGGTGATCTCTCACCGCC